GTTTCCCCTTTTACGTTGCATTACTGAAATAAATTAACTTTTGCACGATATTCTAATTTTTTGAGTATCACCTGTATATGGTCTTACTTAACTAAACCACCGAACAACTGGATGCACTATGTGTATGCATTCAGCTACTCGCTAAATCTATCAGTAGAGTTTGCAATAATTGTTATGTAATAGTTCAGGAAAACATAATAATTGCATAAATAAACACAGCTATCATTTTTTGAAGGTTTTATGCAACAACAAAAAGAAAGTATACTGCTTAAAATATTTATTTTTAAATGTCAAATAATATAGACCACTGAAAAGTTTTATTTACATAACCTGTGTGAACATGGCAATTTCCAGTTAAACATACCGTATATACTCGAGTATAAGCCGACCCGAATATAAGCCGAGGCCCCTGATTTTACCACAAAAAACTGGGAAAACTTATTGACTCGAGTATAAGCCTAGGGTGGTAAATGCAGCAGCTACTGGTAAATTTCAAAATAAAATTAGATCAAAATAAAATTACATTAATTGAATATTTACAGTGTGTGTATAGAATGAATGCAGAGTGTGTGTTTGTGTGTGTATATAATGAATGCAGAGTGTGTGTTTGTGTGTGTATATATAATGAATGCAGTGTGTGTGTTTGTGTGTTGTGTGTGTGTATATAATGAATGCAGTGTGTATATAATGCAGTATGTGTGTTTGTGCAGTGTGTGTAAACTGGGTGAGGGGAGGGCATTTTTATTTAAATTTTAAATTTTAATATTTGCATTTTTTTTAAATTGTTCTTTGTCCCCCCTCCCTGATTGTTGCCTGGTCAGGGAGGGGGACAAAATAAAAAATAAAAAATAAAAAAATAAAAAATGCAAATATTAAAATAATATAATAATAAAATAATATTATTAAAATAATATAATATTAAAATAATAATAATATAATAATAAAATAATATTATTAAAATAATATAATAATAATAATAATAATAAAATAATATTATAACAATATTATTTTATTATATTATTATTATTTTAATATTATTTTAATAATATTATTTTATTATTATATTATTATTATTTTAATATTTGCATTATTTTTTTTTAAATGTTTTTTTTCCCCCCTCCCTGACCAGGCAACAAGCAGGGAGGGGGGACAAAAAACCATTTAAAAAAAATAATGCAAATATTAAAATAATAATATAATAATAAAATAATATTATTTTAATATTTATTTTAATAATATTAAATCCCTGGTGGTCCAGTGGCATTGGTTGTTCAGTGGGGGGGCTGACAGCGAGGTGTTACTTACCTTCCTGCAGCTCCTGTCAGCTCCCTTCTCCTCCGTGCAGCTCCTCTGGTAGCTCCGTTCTGTTTACAGTGTAAGTCAGAACGGAGCTGACTGGGGAGCTGCATGGAGGAGAAGGGAGCTGCAGGAAGGTAAGTAACACCTCGCTGTCAGCCCCCAACAGGACGAGCCCGGTGGTCCTGGTCTGTATTGTGCTAATGTAAATGTAAATTGCCACAATACAGACCATGACTCGAGTATGAGCTGAGTGGGGGTTTTTCAGCACAAAAAATGTGCTGAAAAACTCGGCTTATACTCGAGTATATACAGTAATAGGCAGCCTCCTTGAAACATTGAAGAAAGAGAGCGGAAGAGAGAGAGAGAGAGAGAGAGAAGGAGAGAGGGAGAAGGGGAGAGGGAGAACAGGGGAGATGGGAAAAAAGGGGGAGGGAAGAGAGGGGAGAAGGGGATAGGGGATAGGGGGAGAGAGGGAGAGGGAGATAAAAAATGTAATTCATCATCACTGTTCTCTTTGATGCATTTTATAAATCACTAAACACTTCCTCTTTACTTACATACAATTATTATAGAAACAATTAGAACATTTGCATACATTAAAATACACTGTATGGGAAAAGGTTTTCAGAAACACATGTTTGGAATGGTATTGGTAGGTTGGAGCTCGTTGGTATCTGGTGTGCATACGGTGTATCTTGGTATGTCCCTACATTGTGAAAGCTGGAAAATCATGCCTTCGGTGGCAATGTAACATAAAGAAATACAGGAAAAGGGCTGCGCCAATAGTTAAAAAGTACAATAGTTTGTCTGAATAGGTAGAGTTATATAACATAGTTTGTCTCACTGATATGGTGGGACTAAAGTTCTGATGGAGTAACTGAAGGTAAAGTCCGATAATATTGAGGTCTCACTCAGAAGTAAGTATCTTTATAAGGTGCCTGTTTTTGGGTGTAGAGTCCTCAATGTCCCTAGTGGTCCAACCGCCCCGCTTATATGCAAGACAAAAATGAGGAGACCCAATGGTGCAGTATATAAAAGCCAATATGGGCAAAAATAAACAAATAGGTGCAATCAACTCACATTTAAAAGAGCTATAGTCAGCTCTGGTGTGAAGGGCGTACAGCGGTATAATCCCCGCTTTAAAGGAAATGTAATGCAAGTCCTCCAGAGGGATGGTATCCAACACTCAGGAGAGGGATACATAAAATACAGCCAATAGTGCTCTCAGTAGAATAAAATATGCAGTAAACATAAATAAAAATGTACTCACAAGTGAAGTGCAGGCAAACTGCACTGTGATGTCAGCGTTGGTGGTATGATCCCCACCTCGGATATACTTGGATTCACACGAAGATAAAAGGAAGACAGGTAAAAAATTCCAAATGGAAAAAGTGTACAAATTAAAAAGATTATTGGCACAAAATTGTAACCAAATAGTATTTTATTTAAAAAAATACACAATCAAAATAACCATAATGTGTTTCACCACTAGGGCTTTACCTGGCGTATGTGACTTATTGCTATTATTTTTCCACTCTTTCTAATGCTAAACTGAGCATAGCTCAGCATGTTATTTTGAATATACTTTACATTTCTACTCTCTAGATAAGGTATTTATGATTTATTTAAGAAACATAATGTTTATATTAATCGAATTAGGACAGGAAGTATTAGTAACACAGTCTATTAAATAATTTGTTTTCTCAAAGAGTTAAAACAAGAAATTTATAGATAATGAAATGTTACAGATATTGTGTAATGGAGTTTAGTCCACTGAATTGTCATTCAAAGTATTGTCTTTTCTAATTATATAATTATGAATTTCTGCTTGAATTAAACCTGTAGAATCACAATGTTTTTCCATTTGCTTATATTTTGACAACAGTAGTCACAATGCAAATAAAACACAGTCTGCATAGTTTTGAGAATTAAACAGACAAACATTTTTTAATGCTTATCTTAGATAGTTATATTATTGTCTGCTCTGATAGGACAAATACAAATGTCAATTTAGGCAGCATTACAAAAAATCATTGTGCCATTGTAAAAAAAAGATGAGACATGACATTAAAGCCAGTGGCATCGCTAGGGGTGGGTGGAGGGGTAGAGGGGGCCATGCCCCCCCCCCCCCTAGGTCAGGCTGTGCCCCCCTTGTGCCACCCCAATTTAAATCAAAATTATATGGCCAGGCTGAGCCAGCCAGCCAGCAGCACTATTTTTATCAGCGACATTCTGACAGCCACGAGCTAGCATCACTTCTCTGTCAGAACTTCCCTGATGATTTTAGTTGTTTCTGGCGGCTCGGCTGCTTGCTCACCGGTGCCACCGTGTGGTGCAGACCTCAGACTATAGAGAGGGAGAGTAAGGGAGGGAGCCGAGCGAGAGCGAACATTGCGGCGCGTGGGGCCACACCTTAGAGGCAGAGCATAAGCAGAGAGCAGAGCAAGTGCATTAAGAAGAAGACAGAGCAAGCATATTGAAGCAGAGTGAGCATTGCAGAGCAAAAGCACTGAGGAGGAGAGTAAGAGGAGAAAAGAGCATAGCAAGTAAGATGGGGCCTGAGCATATAAGGGTGGGGAGAGCAAGTAAGGGGGGGCTAAGCATATAAGGGGCTGAGCAATTAAGGTGGGGTGAGCAGGTAATGGTGGGGGCTGAGCAAATAAGGGTGGGGTGAGCAACTGAGTATATAAGGGGGGGCTGAGCAAGTAAGGTGGGGTGAGCAAGTAAGGGTGGGGGCTGAGCAAATAAGGGTGGGGTGAGCAACTGCGTATATAAGTGGGGCTGAGCAAGTAAGGGGGGGTGAGCAAGTAAGGGAGGGCTGAGCAAATAAGGGTGGGGTGAGCAAGTAAGGAGGGTGAACAACTAAGCAAATGAGCAAATAAGGGTGGGGTGAGCAAGTAAAGGGGGGCTGAGCAAGTAAGGGGGAGCAGAGCAAGTTTACAGGAGCAGAGCAAGTAACTTAAAGAAAGGCGGAGCTAAGCAAGTAAGGGGGGGCTAAGGAAATAAGGGGCTGAGCAATTAATGTGGGGTGAGCAGGTAATGGTGGGGGCTGAGCAAATAAGGGTGGGGTGAGCAACTTAGTATATAAGGGGGGCTGAGCAAGTAAGGTGGGGTGAGCAAGTAAGGGTGGGGGCTGAGCAAATAAGGGTGGGGTGAGCAACTGAGTATATGAGGGGGGCTGAGCAAGTAAGGTGAGGTAAGGGTGGGGGGCCTGAGCAAAAAGGTGGGGTGAGCAACTGCATAAATAAGGGGGGCTGAGCAAGTAAGGGGGGTGAGCAAGTAAGGGAGGGCTGAGCAAATAAGGGTGGGGTGAGCAAGTGAGGGGGGTTGAGCAAGTAAGGGGGGGCTGAGCAAATAAGGGGGGGTGAACAAGTAAGGCAGGGCTCAGCAAATAAGGGGGGTGAACAAGTAAGGGAGGCTGAGCAAATATGGGTGGGTTGAGCAAGTTAAAGGGGGGGCTGAGCAAGTATACGGGAGCAGAGCATGTAACTTAAAGAGAGGCAGAGCAGAGAGCAGAGCAAGTAAGGGGGAGCAGAGCAAGTAACTTGAAGTAAGGGGGAGCAGAGTAATTAGGGGGGAACAGAGCAAGCAGGCAGAGAGGAAGCCTTGACAAACAGTACAGTCAGGATGCGCCTAAAATATATACTCAAAATGATAAAATACAATACATAATAAAACAAAATATATAAAATATAAAAATGGTTGGCAATAGTCCAAAACTTATCAAAGTTCGTGATGGAAGATCCCACGTGAGACAAAGGAAAATTCTTAGGATGTAGGGTGAGGTCAAATCTTCATTCAATGGAGCATATGTGGAGAGAAAAAAGTACAGGACTCCAATGGTACAGTAGGTAGGTACGTTGAGAATAAAATAGTAAAATAAATCTTACTCACACTTTTCAGAGCTGAGGATCCAGCTCTGATGTAATGCACGTAAAGTGGAATGATCCCCACTCGAGGATATGTGGAGTAGATGACAATTGGCGATTCTCTAGTACACGTACGGCTTCTACTCTTTTCCACTCCCACACAACCTTTTTCCTCCAGTTTTCCTTTTTTTCACTTTCTAACACCTTAATACCTAATGGGACACTGTGTGTTCATTAGGTATTAAGGTGTTAGAAAGTGAAAAAAAGGAAAACTGGAGGAAAAAGGTTGTGTGGGAGTGGAAAAGAGTAGAAGCCGTACGTGGGACACTGTGTGTTCATTAGGTATTAAGGTGTTAGAAAGTGAAAAAAAGGAAAACTGGAGGAAAAAGGTTGTGTGGGAGTGGAAAAAAAGGTTGTGTGGGAGTGGGAGTGGAAAAGTGAAAAAAAGGAAAACTGGAGGAAAAAGGTTGTGTGGGAGTGGAAAAGAGTAGAAGCCGTACGTGTACTAGAGAATCGCCAATTGTCATCTACTCCACATTAGTTATGTCGCGAACCCGAAATTTTCGGTTCGCGAACGGCGAACGCGAACTTCCGCAAATGTTCGCGAACCGGCGAACCGCCCGAAACGCCATTGACTTCAATGGGGAGGCGAATTTTAAAACACACAGGGACTCTTTCTGGCCACAATAGGGATGGGAAAGTTGTTTCAAGGGGACTAACACCTGGACTGTGGCATGCCGGAGGGGGATCCATGGCAAAACTCCCATGGAAAATTACACAGTTGATACAGAGTCTGGTTTTAATCCATAAAGGGCAGAAATCACCTAACATTCCTAAATCACAATCAATATGGATTGACACCTGACATATGACATATTGACACCTTGACATATGGATTGACACCTGTCCTCAGAGCCCCTGATGCACACGGACACAGAGCAGAATAGGGACTGTTCCCCCTACATGGGGTCACTTGGCAGATATGGATTGACACCTATCCTAAGGATCCCTGATACACACTGACAAAGAGCAGAATAGAGACTGTTCCCCATGACCGGGTCACTTCTATAGATATGGATTGGACACCTGTCCTAAGGTTCCCTGATACACACTGGACACAGAGCAGAATAGGGACTGGTCCCCCTACATCGGCTGGTCACTTGGCAGATATGGATTGACACCTTGTTACAAACTGCTATTTGTAACGGGCCCTTTAAATGGCAAATTGCCCTGCTTCCCTGGGTTGTGGAGAAGCCTATTTGCCAGCCTCCTCCCGCATGACCATGGCCCCTGGGAGATTGTGAAAATGTATGCACTTTTATTTGGTGTGTATGGCCCTTTAAGACTGTCGGTGGGCATATTGGGGCTTATGGACTCTTTATGTGACTGGTGCTGGCCCTTTAAACACCTTTTTGGGACATCAGGGAGATTGGGACACTGCCCCTTTAAGGCCGTGTCCCCAGACTTGTTGGGGACACGGCCCCTTTAAGACGGTGTCCCCTGTGTCCCCAGACCTGGTGCAAACCCCTTGTGCCTGCCTTGCTATTTCCCACTTGGTTCAGTAAATGGGAAATTATTTCAGCTGCAGAGACTAAGTCCCATTCGGCGATGGGACTTAGTCTTTTTTTCAGCCGTTTTTTTCAGCCTTATTTCAGCTGCAGAGAC